ATTATATATATACACTTTAAAATTTATTATTTTATAGTTTAAATTGTAAAATAAAAACCCTTAAATAAAAAAAATGAAAAATGTCTCAATATCAAGACCCTTACTTACACATATACTTTTATATAAAAATTTATTTTTTAATAAGAATTGGTAGAAGTACCATATAAAATGTCTATTACTATTTTGAGACACAAAGAGTATTAACTATGTATGCTTAATTATCATTTGATATAAGATTTTGTTTACTTAAAATTTCAATCTAATTGAGACACCTTGAGACACCACTTAAAAATTTGTAAGCTTTTGTTTACTACACTTAGAGAACCTCATAATTAATACTGGAAGCTTACTTAAAATGAAATAGGGTTGGAAAAGAGTAAGAACTATTATTGTTATACCTTCCAATCTACATCAAAAGAAAGAAAAAAAAAAAGTACAACATTTAGGGTGGGATGTGATGAAATGTGTTTTTTTTCTTTTTAATAGGACAATTAGAAGAGGGAGAGAACCTGGCCTATCGGCCAAGTGGCGTTTGCCACTATTGTAGGTTCATCTCCCCACTCCCTATGGGCTACGGTTTTACCCGGCCCATTGACAAAAAATGATCAAAAAAAAAATTGAAAAAGGGAGAAATGCTATCAATAAGGTTTAAAAGTGCAATCCACAAAAGATAATCTTTATTTGATAAGAAAATCTCGCTCACTAAGTTAAGATGTGGACAGATCTTCCTTTTTTTTCTCTATTTGGATCGTCCGATATCTGTAAGTCTACTAGATCATCGATTAATCCTGATTCGAGTCAAGTAGGACTCAACGGATGGCAAAACTCTTCTTTATGAGTTTTAACAGAATTGCATCTCCATGACTTAAGAACAAGATCTCTGATTAAACTGAAAGAGTTTTCTGTCAACTCATCCACAGTTTATAAATGATGTGGGCAGATTTGATGAAATGTTAAACACACATATAACATGTGGCAGCTAGTTTTCCAATAAAGTGGAATGGAAGGAGTAAGAAAGCTAAAGGCAATGAAAGACAGCAAGACACACACCAACCCTCGAGTCAACAACACCCTTCGCCAACCCAACGCATGGTTGGGTTGGTGGTCAATCACGTTGCCACTTAATTTTTGTGGGAAGTGTCCCTTGTACTCAACCCAATCTCACCCCATGCGGTTTTGATTTCTCTCAAGCCACAGCAAAATCTTGGCCAAGTAAAATACATCACATAATTGGATCACATGTGACCCCCACATAACCATTGGCATCTTACCATTCCTCATTGAGCACCATATCCATTTGTTATCTCATTACCCATGATCCACACGATTGTCCTTGCTATTCTTTTAAATGTTATGAGTCTTTGCTTGATCTATAACATGTATCCATTTATAACTTAAAATTTTAGAATGAAATGGTTCGAGATAAAAA